GCCGCGGCGGGAGGCTTCCGCGGGGGCTCGGGGTTGCAGAGCCAGCGAAGGCTGGAGGAAAGGGGCGGAGGCCCCCGGAAAAGGGCCGGGCCGCTGGGGAAGGGGCGGCGGGAAAGCTGGGGAGGGCAGCGGCGGTGGCGGGCAGCCGAAAGGAGCGGGAGGCGGTGGCTGCGGGGGCAGCAGGCCGGGGCGAGCCGGGGCGAAGAAGGGCGGCAGGGCCATCTTGCGGATGGATAAGCTCTGAGAAGTGACAGGAACCTCCAGCGGCTCTTCCGGAGCGTCTTCCGGGAGGAAGTGACGTATTACCACGCGCGACCCCTTGCGACACGCCCGGCAGGAAGCGCAGCGCAGGATTGGGTGTCAATTCCACTTTTGATCCTTCAATTTAAAATACTACGAGAGCGGGGCTGGTAGCACAAGCCTGTAATCCCAGCACTCTCGAGGCTGAAGCAAGAGGATCACTGCGAGTTCCAGGCCAGCCTGGGCTACAAAGTGAGCTCAAGGCCAGCCTGAACTGCAAGACCCTGTCTCAGAGACCAAAAAAAAAAAAAAAATACTGTGCAACAACCTGTGTAGTAGGGAAAACGCATTAATCAGGTACTCATGCAGACAAATGTGGACGTGTAATGATAAGTATCTGACTTAGGCGTTGGGGAAAGTTGTCCTAAGCATTGGAGGTTTCAGTCAGATCCAAAGAATAAATAGTTAAATAGGGAAGGAAGCACAGTTCGGATGGGAAGAGAATATGCTAGCAGATAGGGATATGTGTAGGATATGTGAAAGAAAGCCGGTGCGCACAGAGCACAGAAAACCTAAACTTGGCTTGATTGTATTTTTAAGAGTAAACAATTTTGAGACAGCTGCAGACTGGGGCCTGGTGTGGTGGCGCAAGCCTGTAATCAATCCTAGCACTCGAGAGCCTGAGGCAGGCTCACTGGGAGTTGGAGCACACCCTGCGCTACACAGGGAGACCTTAAAAAAAAAAAAAAAAAAACACCTCAAGGGGCTGGGGATTTAGCTCAGCTGCAAAGCGCCTGCCTGGCAAGCGCAAGGTCGTGAGTTCGGTTCCCGGTACTGGAGAAAAACAACAACAAAACAACAACAACAACAACAACAAAAAACACCTCAAACAGAGATCATGACCCGTTCCCTGTAATGGCAATATCCTGCAAAACTGCAGTATATCAGAACCAAAATACTGACATTGAGTCAAAATATAGAACATTCCATCACTACCAGTTCCTCCTTTGTCCTTTTATGACCATGCTTCTTTACCCCCCCCCTTTCTCCTTCATTCTTAGCAACCACTGATTCATTCTAATTTCTGTAACTTCATCCTTTCAAAAGCACAGGATGTAAATGGAATCATCATCACCACCCTCTGGAAAGTCATCCACACTGTCCACGAATTCCGTTCCCTTTTCACTGCTGGGCAGTACCGTTCCACCATGTAGCTGTTCCACATTGTTTAACCATTTGCCTGCTGCAGGATTTGGGGGTCACTTCCAGCTTTACGAATAAAGCTGCTGTGAACATTTTTATACAGGTGTGTGTGTCTGTGTGTGTGTGTGTGTGTACACATGCGCGCACCAACCTTCATTCCTCTGGGATGAATGCCCAGGAGCACAATTACTGGGTAATATGGTAGTTACATGTTTGGTTTTTAAAGAAGCTGCCCAATTGTTTCCCAGTGTGGGTATACTTTTTTACATCCATACCAACAATATACAGAGGATTTTTTTCTCTTCATTTTCATAAGCATGTCAGGTTTTTACTTATTTCAGACATCCTAAATGGATGCACAGTGATGTTAGTCATTTTCACACTTCCTTCATTGCTAATCATGTTGAACACCTCATGTGCTTGTCTGCCATCAGTACAACCATTTCACTGAAGTGTTTTTCAAATCTTTATGTGTGTGCACATGTGTGGGACTGTGATTGAACCCTGGAGCATTAGCTATATCTTCAGTCTTTTTGAAAAATTTTGAGAAGGGTCTCACTCAAAACTTATGCAAGTTTTATAAGCTTTTATGTATTTAAGCCTGTGGTCTACTTTGAGCTAGTTTTTGTATAAGGTGTGAGCCTTTTAGGTGGATCAAGTTCCTTTTTTCTTTGTATGGATATCTAGTTGCTACAGTATTATGATTAGATATTTCCTTTTCTTTTTGCAGTGCAGGGATGAAACCCAGAGCCTTGCACATGCTACATAAACACTCTATCACAGGGCTACGTTCTCAGATATATTTGTGTTTCAAAGTACTGTTAGTCTGAGAAAGGAACTAGATGATGGACATACCCCATTTTATACTCTCTTTTTTCAGACAGAATCTTGCTCTAGTTCAGGCTGGCCTTGAACTCACTACGTAGCCCAGGCCAGTCTCAAACTCATGGAGATCCTCCTTCCTCACCCTGGGATTACAAGCATGCACAACCACGCCTGGCCCATTTTATATTTTCATCAAATATTTATTAATCACTTTCCATGCCAAGAGCTGAGGATAGTAAGGTAAGTTAAAAGGGTTCTTTAGCTTGAGGACAGCGACCTCTTGGCTCATACTACAGAAATAATCAGAAAGCCTGAGCCCTCTCCTATGGGACTTTTCAAACTTCCCAGAAACCTGATACTAGATAATACTTAAAAGCTTGTTTTAGCTTAAAATTAATTATACAGCTCTGCATTCCCCAGAGGGCGACTGGGTTGTCACTACCATTTATTGAAGATTCTCCCTTTTCCTAATTTGAAATGTTACATTTTTCTCGTATTAAATTCCCCTGTATGTTGGATCCATTATAGACTTTTACATTCTTTTCCACTGACCTGGCCACTCATTCATGCACTGGTACGCACTCATGTTTTTAAAGTGTTATGTCTTTAAAATCACAGAGGCAACTCCTCTTTGTTCTTCTTTAGTATGTGTGTTAAGAGCAGGAGCTCTGAAACCAGTGAAGTCCTGATTCTGCCACGTACTAATTCTCTGAGCTTGGGAAAGCCACTTTACCCCTCCGGGCTTCAGTTTCATCACCTGAAGAGTTAGCCTGCCTCACTTTAACTTTAACAATATGGTATTTTTACTGGAATATTAAATTTATGACTTAATTTAGGGATAACAGACATCTTTATAATGTTACTTGTTCTTCCAGACCCATCCGGGCCATGATCTCCAGTACCTACCTCACCACCATTACAATGCACCGAAGTCTGAATCGTAAGGTTCTGGAAAAGACTGGTCTGTGTCCCAAGTCAGTCAGGCACCATGAAGAACATTTAAGTAACGATTTTCAATAATGCTAAACATAAACTGTAACAGAACTTTGTGGAACCCCCTAGAACTAGGAGAAATTACAGAGACCTGGAAGTGCAAAGGATCAGCCAATCCCTGGTTAAGCAGCTCAAATGACACCATGCTCTTTAAAAATCCCACAGCTCTGCCGTCCCTGTTCCCGTGAGTCAGTGCAGCGCTCCTGCATGGCTGCACTGTGGACACACTACACCACCATGGCTCTCACTTAGTCCTTTTGTTTTATTCAAATGCAAAACTTAAGTTCCAAAATATAAAGTGTACTTATACTCAGTTGTGTTTGATTTAGAAATATTAATTATGCTTTGTTAACAACTTCCAAAACCAATGTACGTTGCAGTAACTAAAATGTCTCCCAGTCTGTCTCTGGAGTTTTTCCTTTAATATACTAAAAGTACTCCAATTTTCACTCTACAAAAAGGAAAATGATGCTGTCAGAGGAAGGTAATGAATAAAGTTATAATGTGAAAGACTTCACGAGGAAAACCTGAACTATTTACTAGGGACCGTAAAAAACTGTTTCTGTTCCAGGCTTAAAAATGCAATTCCAGTTCTACTCCAGCTATAAATAGGTACCTTTTATCTCATTTATTACAGCTAGCATAGCCCAACTTTCAAAAGGATTTAGAATTTGCTAATAGTTTAAGGTTTGTTTCCCAAGAAAAACTGGATAAAAGAAAAACTCAAGATTCTAGAAGCCAAAAAACCAGAAACAAATACTTAAAGGTACTGATTTAAACAATTTCAAATGAGTCTGAACTGAATAATATAGAAATTTACATCATCATGGAAAGAAAGGAAAAATGCTTGGAATATCCAAATAGTTTACTATTTATGGAATCAAATGATAAAATTTTCATTGATAAGTCAATCCCCCAATTTTTAGTTTTGCTATATAACAAGGATTAATATCTTGTAAGTGAGCAGGAACACATTCCCTTTGGCTGATAAGAACAGATTTTCTTTGCTCTGCAAAGCCAAAGAATTTAATGTCTACTACCAAACGACAAAACAAAACAACAAGCTCTGTATTTTTACAAAGTGCCAAACAATCATCCAAAATACTTTAGGGTGTTTTCCCATGACATTTTAAACTATTGGGAAACAACCTGGTCCAATTTTTAAGATGAATAGAATTCTAGTATTTTCAGGGAAGGAATGTGGATAGAAAATAGGTAACAATAAAGAATGGCATCCCAGGCTGGGTGTGATGGCACACACCTGTAATCCCAGTACTCAGCATGCAGAGGCAGGAGGATCACCAGTTTGAGGCCAGCCAGGGTTACAAAGTGAGTTCAAGGCCAGTCTATGCTGCATAGTGAAACCCTATCTCCAAAAATAAAAAAAGAAGAAGAATGGTATCCCAATGTTCAATTGTAAAGAATTTATTTTCCCATTTGTAGAGTAACATTATTGTAAAATCCAGTTATTTTAACACCTGCATTGCTTAAAAGAATTCCTAAGAATTTTGTTAAAGCATATTTTTAAAAAAACTGAACCAAAATAATGTACATTTTATCTCTAAATATGTCATTAAAGCCCACATAATGTCCTCTGTATAAATCAATGTGATGTTACAATAATATACATGATCTGATTCTTATCCTAAAGGCTTCTGACCATGTACAATATCCCAGATTGACTCAATGCCTTTAATGTCAGACTGCAGAAACAGTTACGACCCTAAACAAGAGAAGGGGAAGCTTTATATACAGGACAGGCATCGGCGCGCTTAGCTGTTCGCAGCATCTGCTTGGCGAGGCCACCCTTCTTCCTCCACTCCAGAGTCATACTCCTCCTCAGAGGATTCTTTTGCTGGAGCCCTGTAATAGGAAAATCCAGTGTTTGTTTTTTAAACAGAAACTAGAGTTAAACATATTTCTAGACTCAAAAGAGTAAATTAATCCCCTTAGCTAAAAGTACAAAAATAAAAAATTTAAGAGCATTTTTGACATTAAAGAGTACTAGTGGTGAAATATGGGTAACAAACTACCCCACAGAGTTACAAGGAGA